GATTTACAATGTTGTGTTAATTTCTACTGTACAGCAAAGAGATTCAGATACATATATATATTCTTTTCCACTATGGTTTATCACAGGATATTGAGTATAGTTCCCTGTGCTATACAGTAGAACCTTGTTGTTTATCCATCCTACATGTAATAGTTTGCATCTGCTAATCCCGAACTCCCAGTTCTTCCCTCCCCCACCCCCTCTCCTCCTTGGCAACCACAAATCAGTTCTTTATGTCTGTCTGTTTCTGTTTCATAGATAAGTTCATTTTAGATTCCACGTATAAGTGATGTCATATGATATTTGTTTTTCTCTGGCTGACTTATTTCACTTAGTATGATAATCTCTAGTTGCATCCATGTTGCTGAAAATGGCATTATTTCGTTCTTTTTTATGGCTGAGTAGTATTCCATTGTATATATGTACCACACCTTCTTTATCCATTCCTCTGTTGATGGACATTTAGGTTGCTTCCATGTCTTGGCTATTGTGAATAGTGCTACAATGAACACTGGGGTGCATGTATCTTTTTCAATTATAGTTTTCTCCAGATATCTGCCCAGCAGTGGGATTGCTGGATCATACGGTAGCTCTATTTTTAGTTTTTCGAGGAACCTCCTTACTGTTCTCTGTAGTGGCTGCACCCGTTTACATTCCACCAACAGTGAAGGAGTGTTCCCTTTCTCCACACCCTCTCCAGCATTTGCTATGTGCAGACTTTTTGATGGTGGCCACTCTGACCGGTGTGAGGTGGTACCTCACTGCGGTTTTGATCAGCATCTGATAATTAGTGAGGCTGAGCGTCTTCTCATGCGCCTGTTGGCCGTCTGTATGTCTTCTTTGCAGAGATGTCGAATTAGGTCTTCCTGGCAGAGTTTTTAACCTTAGACATCTGACTCCAACACGCGGACTTGGATCTGGGGCTTTGGGCGCAGGACGGAGCGATATAAGCCTTGTATTTTTCTCAATCCATTTTTTTAAAAGATATAATTTGCATAAAATAAAATTGACTGGTTTGATGAGTTTCAACAAGTGTACGCTGTGACCGCAATTAAGATTTCTGATATTGATACTTGGCGTCTTCTCCCTTTTTTCTTGATCAGACCAGCCAGAGGTTTTTCTTACGGCCCATTTCAAAGAACCAGCCTTTCGGTTCATTTTCCCCATTGCTATTCCGTTTTTTTTATCCCTTTGATTTCTGTTTTTTAGTATTTCTTTCCTTCTACTTACTTTAGGTTTCATTTGCTCTTTTTTAGTTCCTTCAGGTAGAAAATTAGACCATTGTTTTGAGTCCTTTCTTCTTTTCTAATGTAAGCATGAAATGCTATACATTTCCCTGTAAGTAACTGCTTTTCACACATGTCAATGTGCTGTGTGTTCATGCCTGTCCAGTTCTACTTACCTTTCTAATCCTCCTTTGACCCGTGGGTTATTTAGAATTGTGCTGTTTAGTTTGTTTCCAAGTATTTGTGTGATTTTCCAGATATCTTTGTTATTAAATCCTAGTTTAGTATCGTGATCAGGACATATTTTTTATAATTTCAATCTTCTGAAATTCACTGAGACGTTCATTTTTTGAAATTCATTGCCCCAGAATATGGTCAATTTTGGTACATATTCTGCCTGAACCTAAAAAGAAACCCCAGAAAACAAGCCTATTCTGCTGATATTCAGGGGGAGTGTTTTATAAATCTCAATTAGACTAAGTTGATTCATAGTATTGTTCACATCTGCATGCTTATTATTATTTAATCTACGTGTTCTATCAATTATTGAGAAAGGAGTATTGATGTCTCCAACCATAATTTTGGATTTGCCTATCCTTCCTTGCAGTTCTATAAACGTTTGCTTTATGTGTTTGAAGCTCTGTTATTATCTGCGTAGACGTTTAGGATTGTTATCTGTTCTTGATTAACTAACCCCTCTATCATCATACTTGGTAATAGCTGGTGATCAAAAGTCTATTTTGACAAAGATTAGTGAAACCACTCCAGCTTTCTTATTTTAAATTAATTGGATATTTTAATATTTTGTATTTTCTCCATTATTGACTTACTACATACGTCTTTTTGTTTTATTTTCTTAGTGGTTGGTCTAGTGTTTACAGTATAAAACTGTGACATCACAGTTTGCCTTTAAACACGACTTACCAGGTCAGGATTGGAGTGAGACCCTTAGGAGAGCAGGTTCTCATCCTTTGTGCTGTTGTGGTTACATGTGTCAGAACTACATGCGTCAAAAATACCACAAGATGTTACTACTACTTTTCTTTAAACAGTTATCTTTCAAAGGACGTTTAAATGAAGGGAAATATCTTTTATGTTTATCTAAATAGTTACTACTTCTGGCTGTCTTCATCTCTTCATGTAGATCTACATTTCCATCTGAATTCTCCTAGCTTTGGTTTATCAGAACAAGTCTTGTCGCCCACCTTCCTTTTCAAAAGCTATTTTCAGTGGATATAGATTTCTAGATTGGCAGTTCTCCCCAGAACTTTGGAGAGGTTTTATTGTCTTCTGGCCTGCATGGTCTCTGATGAGAAGTCAGGTGTTACAGTATTCTTATTTTTTTTCTCTTTATGAGGAATGAGTCTTCTTTTTTTTTCTCTGAAGTTGAGGTTTTCTCTTTATCTGATTTTTAGCAATTTGATAAAGATGTACTATTATGTAGTTTTCTTTATGTTTCTCCTGATTGGAGTTTGTTAAACTTCTTGGATTTGTGGGTTTATTGGTTTTACCAGATACAGAAACATTCTGGTCATTTTTTCTTCAACTATTTTTTTCCTGCCTCAACCCTCCCGGGACTGCAATTCCACTTAGGCTAGAATGCTGGCTATTTTCCCACGGCTCACTGAGTTCCATTGTTTGCTTTTGTTTCTTGATTTTGTTGTCTTTATTTATTTGAGTTCCATTTGCTCCAGAAATTCCATTTGGGTATTTTTTTTTTTTTTGCAAGTGTTATTGAGGTGCAGTTTACCTCAAGTGAAACACTCACTTTTAGTGTATAGTTCTATGAGTTTTATAGGCAGGCACAGTCATGAAACCACCGCCATAATCAAATTGTAGAATATTCCATCACCCAAAAGCATTCCTTCATGTCCCTTTGTAGTCAATCCCTTGTCGCCATCCCCAGCTCCTGCCAACAGAGCAATTGTCTGTCCCTGTAATTTTGGCTTTTCCATGATGTCATACCCTTGGAGTCATAAAATATGCAGCTTTTTGAGTCCAGGTTTCCATCAGTCAGAATAATGGATTTGAAGTTCATCCATGTTTTCATTTCTACCAGGAGTTCTTTCTTTTTGCTGCTGAGTAAGGACGTACACAGCCGGTTCATCCATTTACCACCTGCAGGACACGTGGGCTGTTTCCAGTTTGTTGTGGGTTTTTTTTTCTTTTTTCATTTATATGTAAAACCACTATAAACATTCACATAAAGGTTTTACTGTGAACAAAAGTTGCCATTGTTCTCGGACAAACACCCAGAAATGAGATTGCTAAATAATTAAATATTTAACTTCATGAGAAAGGGCCAAACTGTTTCCAACATGGCTGTACTAATTTTTACTGAGTTACAGTTGCTACAATGCTCACCATTAATTGATTTTGCTATTTGTTAACCGTTCTAGTAGGCAGGGGTGCGGTCTCATTGTGGTTTTCATTTGCTTTTCACTAGAATCTAGTGCTGAGCATCTTTTTTATGTGCTTCCTTTTCATTAGTACATTTTCTTTTGTGAAATATCTCTTCAAGTCTTTTGCCCATTTTTAATTGGGTTGTTCTCTTAGTATTGAGTTTCAGATTTCTTTATATATTATAGATCCATTCCTTGATCAGAAATGTGTTTTGCAGATATTTTCTCCTAGTTTTTGCCCTGTCTTTTCATTTACTTAACAGTGTCTTCTGAAGAGCAGGAGATAGTAACCTTGATGAGAGCTAATCTAACAGTGTTTTCTCTCATGGATCACGCATTTGGTGTAATGTCTTTGCATAACCCAAATTCACATGTAATTCCTCCCATGCTTTTATAGTATTGGGCTTTACATTTAGGCCTATGGTCTATTTTTAGTTAAGCTTTGTATAAGGTGAAAGGTGTGGAGTTTCTTCTGTGTATCTGGAAATCCAGTCTTCTAGAATCATGTGTAAAAAAGACTATCCCTTCTACATTGAATTGCCTTTAATCCTGTTTCGAAAATCATTTAGGCACATATGTGTGGGTCCATTTCTGAGCACTCGGCTGGGTCCTATTGGGCTATGTGTGTACACGTTCGCAGGTTCTACACCGTCTTCACTGCTGTGGTTTTATGTACGGTGAGCCTTGAAATCAGGGAGTGTGCGTCCTCCAGGTCTTCATTTTCAAAATTCTTTTGGTTATTTACTTGCTTTACCTTTCCATACAAAATTTTGAAGAACCATGGCCTTTTGTACAAAACCGTATAAAAATCGGGATTACATTGAGTCTGTAGACCCATTTGGATGGAACTGACAGTAATATTCTAATGTCAATATTTTTAGATTTTATTTGAATTCTCCAAGCGTTTTACAATTCTAAGTATACAGAATGTGCCTAATCTTGCTATTTAAATATATCATGGTTTTGGTGCTATTATAAATAGTATTTAAATCTCAGATTCTATTCGTTCCTGGCCAGTATATACAAAGATCTCTCTCACTATATGGATAATAGAGAAAACATGAAATGTTTCTGGTAGGTTGTGTCATAGTGAAGTCAAATCCTAGGATACAAAACTTATTTAATGATCTAAACAGGGGACTGGCACTCTTTTCCTGAAAATACAGCCCCAATAGTAAATATGTTAGGTTTTCCAGGTCATAAGGTCTCTGATATAACTACTCAGCTACTACTTTGGCTGCTGTAGGTTTAACAAAGCATAAATGAATGGCATGGCTGTTTTCCAATAAAGCTTTATTTACAAAAATGGGCTGCAGGCTGGATCTGGCCTGTGGATTGTAATTTGCTGCCTTCTGACCTAAACCGACTTTTCTGTTGTGCTGCAATCTCGGGGCTCTAAATGCTGGGCCATCCAGGTATCGGGAAGTAGATGAGCTGCAAGGGGTTTGGTCATGCTCTTATCTTAGATCAAACAGAGGCTGATAAGCCCAGGAGAGAAGGATGATTCAAAAACTCATCAGGCTGTGACCCCGTGACAGGCGACACCAGGACACTGCGTACCACTGGCTCCAGGTCACAGTCTGCAGAGTCCACAGCAGCAGCTCATACCCACTGCACACACACGTGTGCACGCACACACACACTGCACCCATGCATACACTGCACACAGTTCACACATGCATGCACACTGCACCCATGGACACACGTGTGCGCACACACTTCTCAAGTCTCAGACTAAGGATGACAAACATATTTAATCAATGCCCAAAATACCTTTATATATGTATAAACAAGTTAAATTTCTCTTGACTTAAAGACTGCTATCACGGCCTTCCCTGCTTATCCTGGAGATGGGAATGTTGAGAACACGTGTCTGAATCCACAGGGAAGCAGCAGTGTGGCTGAACGCAGAGACAGGGCCGAGAAAGAGCCGACGCACAGGTGGTGTTCTAAAGAACCTGCATTCTGACGTGGGATAAAGCCAGCTTTCCCTCCCTCCGATGTTCGGTCCTCTGCCCGAGCGCAAACACAGGTTGCGCAGGAGCTGAGAAGGACACGTTCCCAGGTGGGTCTCAGGCTTGGCTGGATCCTGAGCCACAAGGAGGAGAGACGCAGGCCGCAGAGTCCACAACACCCGAAGGTCAGCAGAACGGAGGCTACTTGTTATTTTCCTTTCGACGAGGCAGCACCGTCTCCCGGGCAGGGATTTCCCAGCCCGAGGGCTACATTTGTCTCTGCTTGTGCTTCGGGTTGGTCTTGCAGTAGACGAACCAACGCCCGCGCCTCTTGACCAGGTAGCAGCCCTTGCACCGCTTCTTGAGGACGCCCTTGGTCTTGAAGCCCAGGGCTGGCTGCTGCAGGCCGAGTACCAGGCGCGCGGAGAGGAGCGCGGCCGCCGGGCTGGGGGGCGCACCGACCTGACGGCAGGCGCGCGGGTGGCACGGCGCGAGAGAGGAGAGCGGGAGGCCACCCAGGTGCAGCAGGGGGCCCACGGCGGAAACCACTTTCCTTAGAAAAGCGGTGGCCATGTCGCGGCTGGATCTAGGGAGAAAGAGGAAAAGTTGTCACAGCTGCCAGTGGCTCCTGCCCCCGAGAAAACCTCCTTCCCCACGTCCCTGACCTCGGGACACAGGCCGCGGGTCCGGGAATCTGCGCGACCCCCGGCAGGGCACGAGAGCGGCGAGCGGCACCGTGTCTCCGCCCGGCGCCGAGACCCCCACCCGGCCGCCGGGGCCAGACGAGGCCCGCGTCCACGTGACCCCGTGGCGGCCGGGCCGCGGGCTGGAGCAGAGGGCACGAGGTCCGGAACGGTGCCCGGCTAGAAGGGATCACCCGTGCGGCCGCTTCCCACCGCAGTGACCTCCGCCCGCGTCCCACCCGGGCAAGCCGAGGCCAGGGGTCCCCAGAACGCGCCCTTCCTGAGCCCGGAACCCCCGCCGCCTCCCCTACCCCTCGGGACCCCCGGAACACCCCACGACCCCCACCTGGAAAGAGTGAGTCCGGGCCCGCCCGCAGCCCGCCTCGCCAGCCCCTGCGCCTGCGCCCTCGGCAGCGCCTGCGCAGTGGGGCGGAGATACCGTCGCCCGGAGTGTCCGCCAGGAAGGAAGATGGCAGCAGGGTCACGTGGCGGTCCCCTCGGGGCTGGGCGCAGAGGCGGAGCCACGTGGGTGCGGGAGTCGCGGAGCGCCGGGTTCCTCCCCGGCTGCTTGCCTTTCCCCTCCCCGGTCCCCTGCATACCCAGCCCGCCCCCCACTCCCGGGACCCTGCGCCCTCCTCCCGGGACTGCCCCAGCCCTGTGGGCCACCGGGCGGCTAAGGTTTGGGGGGCGCTCCCGGGGGCGGGGAAGGGATGAAAAATGGGAACAAAAGTAGGTATTTTGAATGAAAAAGAAGTCACAACCAAGTAGACTTTTTAAAAAGCTGATAAATATCAATGTCAAAACAAAATCTAGAAAAACCTCATGTTTGTATTAAGTGGACATCCTGGGAGAAATGTGGCGAGGCTCAGGGGAACGCATGGAAATAGGCCCTGGTTCTAAATGACTGCAGTTAAATTTATTTCCTCCAACATACTTTAAAACACAGAGAAAAGTTAAAAGACACTGATGGCGAACACCCACGTACGTACCCACTGCCCAGATTCCACAGTGAAATCGCCACGCATGTCTTTCCAGGCTGTGTCTGCGTGGACACAACTACTTTCCACGCACACGAAGGTGAGCTGCACACGGGGTGCACCTGCGCGCCGCCCTGGCACCGCACGCGCACCCCTGACCCGGCTGCAAGCTGTGGCCCCTGCCCAGGTGAGCTCGGGCCTGCCTCTGAGCATGCGTCCGTGGACACCTTTCCGATCCGGGAGGTATTCTGGGCACTATCGCCTCTCATCGCCACACCGCCCTGGAGTCCAGGCTGTGAGTGCCCTCAGCTCCTGGGCAGTGGGATGCGCGACTCCACCCCAGCTCTGGGACTGCTCCCTGTGCCCACCGCCCTCGCCCATCGGGGGCTGGCCGTGAGCTGACCATCCCGACGGGTCTCTGCACAGGCCGTTTGGAGGAGGCCATGAGGGGCAGGAGAGAAGCAGGGCCGGGACCGCGAGGTGTGCTCCAGAGCAGCGGGCCTTTCGGGTCTAACCTGCATGAGGGATGCCATCGGCTGCGCTTTACTGGCAGTTTCATTGGGCTCTGCTGCAGAAACCCCAGAACCACAAAGAAATGCGCTCTGTCCAACATGATGTACTTCCAGTTTCCTCTAAGCAAGGACTCATCTCCAACATTCACAACATTCAACATGTAACTCCCCGTGATTATCCGTTACCATCGAAGGTAAGCACTGCATCTTCCGTTTCCATCCTCCCCTGCCCTGCCCCTGGTAAGTGGAGCATCACTAAGTGCTGAGGTTGCGCGGAGCGTCCCCCCTTATCCGGGCTGAGCCCCCGCCCGCAGCTGCACCAGCCGGCCGCACCTGCCTGACCGCACCGCGCGTGCGCGCCTCACCGGGCGAGGTAAATCCGGGCCGAGGGGGTGTGTGCGCGGGGGGGGGGGGGGGGGGGGGTCCCTGCGGACGCCGTGCGCATGCGTCGGCGCTCGGCGCGTCGGTGCGCGGGGTCGAAGGTCAGCCTGAAAGATGGCGGCGGCGGTGACTTTCCTCAGGGTGCTGGGCCGGGGAGGGGCGGCGGCGCGGAGCCTGCCCGGGGCCGCCAGGTGCTTCGGGGTGCAGACTTCGCCGGCCGGGGAGAAGGTCACGCACACCGGCCAGGTAACGCCTGCGGCGCGGAGAGCGCCCTCCCCCTCGGGGCGCCCAGGTGGGCGGAGCCCCGGCTCGGCCCCCGTGTCCCCGGGGTCCAGCGCCCCGGTGCCCCAAGCTCAGTGCCCGTGGTCCAGTCGCCCAGCACCCCGGTCCCTCCTCTTCCCCCGGCCCAGCACCCGGGTCCCACGGTCCAGTCCCTCGGGGCCCCGAGCCCCGTACCCGCAGTCCAGTCCCCCAGTGCCCCAGACGCCCCAGACCCAGCGCCTGCGGTCCCGTCCTCGGTCTCCCCCTTCGTCCGGGGCCCCGGGCCCACTACCCGCAGGGGTACCGAGGGGCTGTCTGCAGCCACTGTGGCCTCATCCTCGCAGCGAACTCGGATCCAAGACTGTTATCCCGGGGTAGCCCCTTGGTTACTGTGGGGAGCACTCCGGTGGAGTCAGAAATGAGCAGTTCTGTGCGTTCGATCTCCTCGTGTTTGCGCAATGTTGAATACCACATTGTAGTAACTCGAGGGTCCGCTGTCGAGTTATGAAATGCAAACACGGCGTTAGGCTATGGTCCGCAGCCCAAAGATGAGGGAGTGAGTACCTGTGTTGTTAGAAAAGGCCACGGAGCAGGTTCAGAGAGGAGGGGAGCTCCGGGGCCTCTGAGGTCGAAGGCGGGTGTCCCCCTCCGCCAGGACTGCTCTCCTCTGCTTCTTCCCTACCTTTTGCTACTTCCAGTTCAGACTCCTGCCTGATGTCCCGTTAGGAATCCTGCTGAAAAATGCAACTACACGGACTCCTGGTGTGTGTGACCGTGAATGGCCGGAACGTTAAGAAAACACTTTTCCTGAAACGTTTATGATTGGTATAAGATACAGCATCGGGCCGTAAAAAATCCCATACGGTCTTTTTCTTTTCAGGTTTATGGCGATAAAGACTACAGGAAAGTTCGATTTGTAGGTCGTCAGAAAGAGGTGAGTGAAAGGTCTAGCAAAAGAGAGGTGAGCTTTCTAAAACTTTTTATAACGAAGAAGAAATAAATACTAATCTGTAAAATTTAAGTAAATTCTCCCCAAATTGTGAGCACTTTAGAATCTCTGGAATTCTCCATTTCTTCTGCATGTTAAACATGTCTAGTTCTGTTTTGTTTTTTCCCCCTGAGACATGTAACACGACATCTTGTGCGTATAGTTTTCGCTTACGTGTAAATGGGTGTGATCTTTTCTTTCACTTCTGTGCCTTATACTTGCCAGACTCTCAGGTTAAAGCAGAGTCACATCAATGTTTTAAAATTACTCTTTCAGTCGCTTTTTGGAGTATGTTTTCCGTGGTTCACAGCGTATAGATCAGGCTGGTTCTCTCAGGGACTTCTGAAGACAGCACGTGGGTGGGTCTTCCCTGAGTGGGTCTGAAACACCAGTGCAACCACTGGACACTGGAATCCTTTCGCCTCGGTGGCCTGCGTTCTCCCCACTTCCTCTCTCCCGTGCCTGCCACTTCAGAGGGAGTCCTCACTGCCCTGGCTCAGGCCTCCCTGCACCCCTCCCCAGCAGTCACCTGGCGTCACTTCTCCCCTTCAGGCAGCCTGTTGATTCTTCCTGCCACCCTCAGCTGTCCCTAAGTCGCATCTCCCCTCCCTTTGACCTTGGTTACGTTGTCCATCCCCAGGGTCTGGTTTCCTACTTGCCACTTTGAGGGTGTTGTGGGGTGAGGAGTCTGGCCCCCTGGATGGAGCAGTTCCAGCAGGTGCGTCCTGAAGCCCTGGGGTCGACCCTGCCCCCGGCTTTCCATCTCAGCCTGTCACACTCCTCTCTCCTGGGAATTCTACCGTGGCTTCTGGTTTCTGATTGCCCTCGCTGGGGACAGACCTCAGGGAGCAACTTAAACACCGAACCAGACATTCCAGAGTTCGTGAGGCCAGTAACGTGTGAATGGAGGGGGCAGTGCTGGTGATGTCGCCTCGCTCAGACCGTCAGCTCACCACAGTCCTGAGCCGGCTGCAACCCTTGACCCCTCCCCGCTTGGGATGTCTGGGGCCTTTTCCTGTCCGAGATCGTGGGCGTCCAGGGGCCCGTGCTCATGTAAGATGCGCAGCAGGTCTCTCCGGCTTTCATTCTTGGACAAAAGTTTGGCGTTCAGTAGTATTTGAAATTTTTTCGGTTTCCAAGAGACTGTTGTTTCAAAAGACCTTTAGGCATGCTGAAAAGTTGCACAGAGTAGGAGCTCCTGTATCCCTTCCCCTCCACAGCGTCCCTGTTATTCTCCTCTTGCCTGGGTGCGCTGCCTTTGTGAGAAGCGACAGGGTTGCACACTTGCTGAGTACTGGTACGTTGTGTTAACTCAAGTCCTCAAGTGGTTTAGGTTTATGTGGTAGGTTCACGCTTGGGGTCGTACGTTCTGTGGGTTTGGACAGGTGCGTGGTGTCTCGTATCCATGGATCTTACCGTCTCTACAGTTTCATTTGGGTGAATTTTAAGAAATAAGCTGAACGTGCTCTTAGTCTGAGGAGCGAGGAGAGCAGGAAGCTGGGCGGTTGACCCGCCTTCGCAGGAAAGGTGGGAAGCATCCGCGTGTGGCTGCAGCGAGCCTGCCCTGGAACCCACGGCCCTTGGCCTAGGGCTGGCCTTGTGGAGAGGAGATGCTCATGCAGAAGGGGGCCCAGCCGCCGCCCCCAGGGTGGGGCAGCCGTCGGCCTGCAGTGGTCCTGTGTCACTGGAGGGGCTAAGGGCCCAGCCGACCTCCTGTTCCTCTGCGGCGATGGAAGTATTTTTGTTACTTCGCGGTTACACACGTGGAATTAAAAGCCGACGTTTCTTGCCCGTGAGTGACGGGCGCCCGCGGCATCCTCAGGCGGAGGTGGTGCTGGGCCCGGAAGTTGGTTAGCATGGCTGTTGTGCCGTGTTTGTCGGTCGGGTGGACCCTGTGGGGCTCCGTTTTCGGGGCGCGGGGCCCCCGGGCCTGGACAGCAGTGGGGACAACACAGCCACGTGTGTTCCGAGGGGGCTGCACTTCCTCACTCCCTGCTCCCTTTCCGGAAATAGGAATCCCAGGGAAAGCTTTGGGATGGCATCATGTCTAGCCGACACAGCTTTCCAAAAGCAGGAGTGTCACCCCCGCTCTGCGGGCTCAGGACGTCAGCACCGCTGGGTGTCTCGGTGGCAGCGGGTGGGCGGGCTCTGCTCCGCGGTCGGTGCTCCTGGGTGCAAGTGGATTGGGCTCAAATTGTACTAAACTAAGGGCCTCTCTCGCCGTGTTTGTGAAGATCGATCCTTGTTCTCTTCTCTTCACTGCAGCCTCGGGCCCCTCTGGGTGCACGTGGGGTTCTGTGTGCCAGAGCGGGGAGCCACGTGGCCTTGGTCCTCTGGGCCTGACGGAGCACAGCGCTTCTCACCATCGTGATGAGCAGATACTGCGGTTACTCACGGAGCCAGAATCACAGTGACCTCGGGCAGCGTTTACACCCCGAGTGTCTCGTCTGCGTGCTTGTCCGCAGAGGAGTCTGGAAGGGGGAGAGCGGGCCCCACCGCTGCCCGTGTTTGTCCTCTGTTACCGAGTTCCAACCCCGTGGACGCTTTGGCCCCCAGAGATGGGGACCTTCGAGATGATCTTGCTGTTTTGCACCCTGAGTGTGTCAGCTGGGGTGGAATCCCGCAGCCCCATCAGATCAGGTTGGGGTCTTTGTAGGTCCAGCCGCTGCCCGTAACGTTGGGCTTCTGCCGGGCCATGCGTGGCGGTTCCGGTTCTGGTTCCAGTTCTGGCTGCTGTGGGTGAGCATCTCCAGCTTCCTCAGCTCAGACGACATTCTGTGCCTCCCAGCTGAGTACCTGCACCGAGAGAAGCTGGCTCCCCGAGGAAGGAGGAGCAATGCGTTGCTCTCTCCCTGCATTTACCAGCTTGAAAGTCATGAGTTGATTCCTTCCAGTAAGGAAGGCAGTGGATTTAGCGCATCTCCGTGGAAGCGCGGGGTCAGGCATCTTGTGTTTCCGTGCTTCGTGGTTATGGTGCCGTCGTCGCTCCAGTGTCCCACGTGGAGCAGCCCTTGTAGTCCGAGGCTGCCTTTCCCTCCGTCGCAACGTGGCTCAGCCTCATCTGTACGTTTCCTGCTCGGGACCCCGAACCAGCTGTTAGTTCAGAGCCTGGTCCCCAGAGGGAAGTGGTCATGGAGACAGCGTGGCTCCTGGCCCCGGGTCGGCTGCTGCTTCTGGTCTTTTCCAGCAGATAGAGTAGAAGAGCATGTGTGTGCGTGTGTGTCCTTGTGCAGGTGTGAGAGGGAGGGTGGGGCAGGGCCAGGAGAGAACAGGACGCTGCACGTGGGGCGGGATGTTAACAGGGGAATCCAGGTAGAGACAAAGGAGAATTCTTTGCACTGTTGTAATTCTTGCAGCTTTTCTGTGAGTTTGAAATTCTATCCAAATGGAAAGCTAAAGGCGTGTGTACACGTATGGAACGACTTGTGTATTTTGAGGATCTGCACTGATAATATTTGAATGAAACGGTACAGAACGTGCCTTTGCCGGCAGTGTGTGCGTGTATGTGGGGGGCGGTCTACGTTGATTTAAATTCCATGAGAGCGTCCAGTGTTTGTGCTTGTCTGTACGAGCTTCTCCCGTCTGTCTTTTTCCAGGTGAATGAGAACTTTGCCATCGACCTGATAGCAGAGCAGCCTGTGAGCGAAGTTGGGAGTCGAGTGATATCGTGTGACGGCGCGGGGGGGGCCCTGGGCCACCCCAAAGTGTACATAAACCTGGTAACGTGCCATCCGTCCCCGGACCCCCGTCCTTCTGTCCTGTCCTCACCCCGCTGGCCTCACCCTCTCCCACTCGGCCTTGCCCACAGACCATACGACAGGGGCTGGACAAAGGGCGTGTCCAGGGCAGCTTTGACTGTGCCGTGTGTGCAGCGCCCTTAGTGTCACCAGCACTGCTTTCCCTCAGACTTGTAGGGAACCCTACAGGGAACCCTCGTGTCGGTGCCTGTGTGATCGTTTACTTTGTTGATAACTACACGCACAGAGCCTTTGAGAAGGAGAACAGTACACTGGCTGTTAGAGCAGAGAAGGATGCCTGGGGATAAAGCTCAGGTGCACGTGGTGTAGCGACAGGGCAGGACCCACCGCCGCCCCTGCTGCTGTGTCCGGGCTGGACCCCACCCCTGAGGGGTGGGCCTCTGCTCCGCGCCCCACCCTCCAGCCCTTCCAGGCCCCTGCTGGAGGGCCGGGAGGGGGACGGGGACCGAGCCGTGTGTTCCAGGGCAGGGAGCCTGCATCCCAGCGAGTCTGGGTGGAGCGGGCTGGACCCAGGGCCTCCGGCACAGCCACGTCCTGCGTCAGCAGTGACCCCGGAGCTCCGTGGGCGCCCCTGGTTGGCTGTGTGTTTCCAGTGTCTGCTTTTAGCGTCTGAGGTCTACCTGTCTCTAGATTGACGTAGAGTACGGAAATAGGAGATCTTTCCCTTTGAATTTTCCAGGACAAAGAAACGAAGACGGGGACGTGTGGCTACTGTGGCCTGCAGTTCCGGCAGTCCTGCCACTAGGGCCGCGTGGGCAGCTCGGTGGCACGGACTCTGTCTCTAGTGCCGAATAAAGGTGTTGTTCTCTAGGATGCTGTGCACAGCTGTTTCTGTCACACAGGTTCACTTAGGGCTGCGGCTTAAGGTGGCGTCCCCTCCCGGGCCCCCGCCACATGCTCCTTCTACCCGCGGGACCACAGCGGGGGCTGGAAGAATCCGGGGGCCAGGGGCAGGGGGGACGTGGCTGCTCGGGGGCTCGGGCTCCGGCCCAGCTCCAGCCCCATCACTCATCTGCTGTCACTCTTTCTGTCCATCTGATCCTCGGGCTCCGTCTCGTGTCTTAAATCCCAAGAAGTTAAGTACCTATTTGAAGGTGTTAACAGTCACATATGGTCCAAATCAAGTACAATTTGTGTATTTAAAACAGTAGTGATTATAATGTATTATAACAAAAATAAAAATGAATATTATGCGGGAAGAGAATGGAGGCTTGGTGGGGTGATGGGAATTCCAGGAGGAAAAAGCGATGCATGGGGGGCGCGGGGAAGCGACACCTACACCAGAGAAGATTCCTGAGCTGAGGGAGAACCCACAGATAACAGGGCACACCAGGTGCTCAGCAAAACTGGTGAGAAGAGACACAACTGGGTGCATTCTGGTTATAAAAACTAAGTTGATGAAACTTAAACTTTATGGAGGCTAGAGAGGACAAGACCGTTACAGCTTCCAGATGAAAGGAGAGATGACCATAGTGGCAGAGTTACCGGAAGGGCGTCCGGCATCTCACCTTCAACCCTGGAAGCTGGACGTGGTAAGTGGCTCTAACAGTCAGGAATCCTGGGCACGACCAACGTGACATACACTGGCAGAGGAGCACTGGATGTGGAGAACTCAGAGCCACGCCTGGGCCTCAGCCAGCCCGCGGCAGGGGAGGCGGGGGCCCCTCGGCCTGAGCCGGCTGACGCGGAGGGGGTGCGGCCCCGAGCGCAGGGCATGCTCACTGAGGCTCTCGTGGAGCCGGAGCTGCAGGCCCAAGACCTCAGGTAGTGGACTTGGGGGCTGGCTGTGCAAAGCAGGTCTGCGAGGTGGGGGCAGGGCGGGAGGAGAAGGAGGTCGGGGGTCCTGGGGGTCCCGTGGGTGGAGCGGGTGGGGATGGAAGGAGTCTCCAGGTCTCCGCTGGTTTCTGGAAGTGTCTCACATCTGCTCACGAGGAGCGGGGGTGCAGTGCGCCAGAGGCGTGTTGAAGTCTCACACCCACCGGGGGTCTGCGCACCTCCCAGTGTTCTCCGCTTGGCGCCCTGTTTAAAGAGCTGCATGAGGCTCTGCTGTTAGTTTCTGTGGCTCGCCTGTTCACTGTTCTGTCTCTAACAAGCCATCTGCCTTTGAGTCTGCTCTGCCTGTGCCTTATGGGGCCACACCTGCTTCATTTGCTTAGTATTTGCACGTTAATTTTCTTAGTCCTTTCTTCTTCACCATTAATGTGTCTTCATGTTTTTATTGTATCTCCAAATATTATGTCTGCAATATACTCTCTAATATATTGGTACTTGGTATATTGTATACCAAATATACTTAGATTTCTTACCAAGTTTAAAGTCCTTCATCTCCTAATTGGACATTTTAGTCCATTTCTACTTAGTGTAACAGCTGACGTCTTTAGATTTAAATCCACCATCTCATTCTGTCCCATTTGTCCCAGCTCTCCCATGCTTCCCTTTCTCCTTTACATGAAAGGATTAATTTTTTCATTCTCTTTTCCTCTAATATGGTACAAGTTGATTTTTCTTCAAATCAAAAAAGTCATTTGAAAACTGGGGAAAATAATGGCAGATCATAAGATTTAAAAAATTCCTAATAAACCAAAATACAGGTCAGTATGAAAGACACCCAATTTTGAGGGAAAATGGGAAAAGGCATAACAGACACTCTGTAAAAGAAATAACAGAGGGCCAGCGCACGTGCGTGTACAGACAGACCCCGGATACCTGATACAGGGCCAGACCTAGGGGGCTCGGCTGCTCGTGCCCAGGGTAGCTGAGTTGTGCACCAGAATGGGAAGGTCCTAAGGCAGGGGTCCCCGACCCCTGGGCCACAGACCGGTACCGGCCCATGGCCGTTTAGGAACCGGGCCGCACAGCAGGAGGTGAGCAGCAGGCAAGTGAAGCTTCCTCTGTACTTAGAGCCGCTCCCCGTGGCTTGCATTACTGCCTGAGCTCCACCTCCTGTGAGGCTGACGGCGTTCGGTTCTCGTAGGCGCGAACCCTCCTGTGAACTGCACACGCGAGGGACCTAGCTTGCGTGATTCTTGTGAGAATCCAATTCCTGATCTGAGGGGGAGCTGAGGCGGTGATGCTAGAGCTGGGGAGCGGCTGCAAATACAGATTCTCATTAGCAGAGAGGTGTGACTGCACAGAGACCATAATCGACTGCTTGCAGACTCATATCAAAGCCCTATCAGTGAGTGGCAAATGAAAAGTCTCAGGCTCCCACGGATTCTGCATTATGGTGGGCTGTGTAATTATTTCATTGTATGTTACAATGTAGTAATAATAGAAATAAAGTGCACTATAAACGTAATGTGCTTGGATCATCTCAAACCCCCCCCCCCCCGCACATGTCCGTGGACAATTTGTCTTCCATGAAACCGGTCCGTGGTGCCAAAAAGTTGGGGACGGCTGACCTAAGGTGTCGATGTCAAGTGTGGAAAAGGTACATGCAGGGATGTTCATTTTACACTCAGCAAATTACACAAACATATGGGCCTGGTGAGTGAGGGTCTTTTCTTTATATGTAGATAGTATGAAGCCATTAGAAATGATATGGGTCATAGCAGCACTGTTCACAATAGCCAAGACATGGAAGCAACGTAAGTGTCCATCGACAGACGAACGGATAAAGAAGTGGTACATGGTTACAGTGGAATACTACTCAGCCATAAAAAAGAATGGAGTAATGCCATTTGCAGCAACATGGATGGACCTAGAGATTTTCATACTAAGTGAAGTAAGTCAGACAGAGAAGGACAGGTATATGATATTACTCATATATGGAATCTAAAATATGACACAAATGAACTTATTTACAAAACAAATAGACTCACAGATGTAGAAAACAAACTTACGGTTACCAAAGGGAGGGGATAAATTAGGAGTACGGGATTAAAATATACACACTATATAAAGTAGATAAACAACAAGGTATACTACTGTATAGCACAGGGAACTATACTCAATATCCTATAATAAATAATAATGGAAAAGAATATGAAAATGTGTACGTATAACTGAATCATCTTGCTGTACACCTGAAACACAACATTGTAAACCAACTATGCTTCAATTATAAAAAAGAAAAAAGGAGGTCCTTTTAGTTCTGTCCCCTACAATACAGCAACATTAGAGTTCACAGTGGTGTCTGGGGTCATTTCTCCAGTCCTGGGGTAACAGTCTCTTTCCCTCCTCCTCCCATATCTCAGCTTACTGTTTCTGCTCCTTTTGCTAACGCTCTGTGCACTTAGTTTATGAAACAGAATCTGAATGGAGAGAGGAGCAGTCAGCAGGTGGAGAGCTTGGCTGGGTCTTTTCAGTGGTGGTCACAGAGTGGCTGCCGTCACGGCAAACTTGCCACACGCGTGTGCTCAAGGGACCCTCTGGCTGCCGTCACACAATCAGGTTTAGAACGATTCCCTCAGTTCACCATCACTGAAGTAATAAAACATTTACATCGTAAAAATAGATATGGGTCGGTATTTATTGCCGTGGAATATTGGCCGGCTCTGTAGTAGGTAGAACTCATTTGAAGGAGCTTCTCTAACACCAGCAAGCCATTCGGAATGAGATTTGGGTGATCTCTACTATCCGTTGTGTACTTTGAAATTTTTGACCCTAACTATTCTGCTTCCATGAAAGAATTTCCATGGGGACAAATACCGACATAATGGGCTGGAGATTACAGAGAAGAAATGCACGTGCAGCTTCGGCTTCCCGGTACTCACAAAACCCGGTGCAGCTGTGGTCATGCATGACGTCCCAGTTTCACCGTCCTGACCTGCGTCCTCAGACCCCATCCTCAAAACCCCTACGTCCTGACCCAGCCTCCAAAATGAGTGCCGGGGGGCAGCTGCTCCCACAGACAGCGAGCTGCGCCTGCGGGCGAACCCCGGAGCCCCACCCGGGCGGGGCAGGGGTCCTGGTGACATCATCCCGAGGGCGAGCCCGGCCCCTCCCTCCCGTGACGTGCAGGGCCGGTCCAGGCTGAAACCACAGTCAATTCTCAGCACAGCCCAGAGGGAAAATGCAGGGCCTGATTCTGGGGGAACCCCTTACTCAGGCGCTCCTTCCGAAAAAGGAGAAAAAGCAGGACCCTCGGACACCTACTACACAGGTGGGGTGGGTCCGGAGGCGCTGCCCCGGTTTGGAGGGCAGATGGGAGGCTGCAGGTGGGGAGTGCTGCCAGAAGGGACTGCAGTCTTGCAGATGGGTGGGCATGGCCGTGGTCTGCAGGAAGGAGGTGGGGGTGTCACCTGCCCAGCGGACCTGAGGAGGGAGCCCAAGTGTTCGGGGAGGGGGTACCCGGTGAAAGGGAGCAGGACCCTATGGGGCTCCCCAGGACAGACCTCCCTGCCATGTCCTCCACCTGCCTCGTGCAGAAAAACTTTAGTCAAAGAAGAAACATAATCAGAGAAGTGAGAAAGTGCAGAAGCAGAGAGAAACGGACGGGACAAAACAATAGTAGTTTTGTCAGTGAAAGTCAAGGACCTTTAGTTCCTCCTCGAGGGCTAGAGAGAATATTCTGAGCCCTATCCTGTGAGCTGTCCTATAGGTACTGAAACCCCACCAGGTGGACGAAGTTAGCTACATGATGGTCAGCCTGTAGCCGTGACATAAGCTGCCACAGTTATGCAAACTGGTCTCAAGGAAATGGGAACAAACTGACCCTGGGACTGAAGACTAAATGTACTTAAAACAATCAAGAGGCTGCCGGTCAGACCACCGATGACCAATTTCAAGACGGCTGTCAGAGCTGACTGTGCTGTTTCTGCACGTAGCCCCTGCCCTCCGTCTATAAAATCTCTTGCCCCCTGGTTGTCGGTGGGGAGGTGGCCTTTGGACATGAGTCCACCCTCTCCCCTGGTTGCTGGCCTCAGAAATAAAGCAAACTTTCCTTTCCTCAAACCTGCCTCTCGAGTACTGGCTTTCGAGCACCAGCAGCTGGACCCGACTTTTGGTAACACCAGCAGGACTATTTTCCCAGACGGCGCTCTGTCCCCGGCTCTAAGTGGCCACCGCACTCCTCAGGGAGAGCCGTCCTCCGTGAACCCGGACTGACGTCAGCGGATGCTGCCGTTTTGCGCTGTTTTTCTTCCCCTAGTCTCTTTGTCCCGGACTCCCTGTGGGTCACCCAGCAAGCGTTAGACCTCCGCTTCCACCGACCGCCAGTTTTCGAGCGCGTCTCTCGGAGCAGCTCTTCCCGGGGTCACTCCGGGTGGCGTTGTGCGCGTGTTATGAGCGAGCTGCGGTCCCCGTGCTCTCCGAGCCCCTGTTGGGGCGTGTGCCCTGCAGCTGGGCAGGTGGGAGTCTTGCCCCGGCCAGGTCTGTGCTGGCATGTGGGCTGCGCCATCTCGCTGTTCAGCTCTGTGTCGGGGCCCCGGAGGCGAAGAGGCCGCCCGGAACTCCGTGCCGTTCCTCCGGGGGCTGAGCGCCCGGCTCCCCTCCCCTCGCAGAGTCTCCTGGCCTTCGTTCGTGCGGCGCATCCAGGGTCCCCAGCTGCACTGAGCAGGACAGGGAAGTACGGCCACCCCACCATCCCGGAAGCGGAGGGCCACACCGCTCCCTCGTAAAGGAGGGACACCCAGTGAGGACGGGCGACGCCTGGGCCTTTGGAAATGACCGCTTGGTTGTGGGTCGGGCCTGGAAGAGGCGGGATTGGATGACCCGGAACGGAGAGGTGGCCAAGGGGATGGGGTGTGAGAGGCAGCCCCAGAGCGGCCTCAGGGCCGGGGGCGGGCGGGGGGCTGTACAGAGCGCTCAACATCAACGAAAAAGCACGGCCCGCCTGGCGCTCGGCCCTCGACGGGGAGGGATGAAGCCCCCCGCGGGGGCTCCCTCCCCCCAGGCCTGGGCGAGGGCCAACTCACAGGCTTGGAGCCCAGCGCTGAGGAGGGGCAGGTGGCAGAGGCGTGACAGCCGCACGGTCACCTGCGTGGCGGGACTGTCCCCGCTGGCCGCGGCCGTGAAGGGGATGCTGACCGGGTGGTTGATGGAGGGCAGGGCTGCGGGGTGGGCGCTGGGTCCCTGAGCAGCTCCCTCTCTGACTCTGGTGGGTCCCTGAGCAGCTCCCCCTCTGACTCGGGTCCCGGCCCCTGCACAGCCGTCTCTCCTCGGGGCTCGGTGGCTGCCCACCGGGGCTCGGTCCCTCGAGCTTCTGGCGGCGGGCGGGACAGCACGTGGCGGGCAGGACGTGCGGGGGCATCTCTGCACAGGCCAGCCCCCAACCGAGGCGGCCGCGTCTGTCTGCCGGGGTCTTGGAGGTCCTGGGTCGCCGTGTCCGCTGGGCCTGAGGGCCAGGACTGCCAGCCTTGGACGGGAGCCCGTCCTTGGGGGACAGCGCACCCTGACTTCTTGAGGGTCACATTGCCTCTCATCTCTCCTTAGGGGTCGAGGACTGGCTTCGTTGAGGCTACGAGTGGACAGGGCGCCAAGGCCAAGCGTCCCATGCCAGTGAGAGTGGACCCGAGAGAAGTGGGGGGCAGGGGGCCTGGCTTTGAGGTCAGACTGTCCGCGTGGGGACCCCTCCAGCTGCTCACCTGTGCACAGCCGAAGGCCTCTCCCTGCAGCTGGGGGCGCGGGGGTGCCCCCGAGTCTGGGAGGGAGGGACACGTGCCAGCAAAGGTGTTTCAGGAACAGACAGCGAGCTGGGGCAGGAGGACCTGGACTGAGAACAGGTGTCAGAGCGGCGGGGCGCAGGTGTCTCCTCTGAGAACACGTCTGCACGTCGGGGGGTGGGCAGCGCTGGAGGGGCCGGGGACAGAGAAGGCTGGTCACTGCGTGGGGGGAGCTCCCGTCCCCAGAGGGCCCTGGCCCCCGGGACCCCCCGTCCCCAGAGCGCCCTGGCCCCCGGGACCCCTCGCGCCCGCCTCCCCGTTACCCGAGGAAGCCCCTTCTTAGCGTCTGCTCGTTTTACAGCTCAGGAGTCAGGAAGACAGAGATAAACACCTGATTCTCTATGTGGGACGCTCTTCAACTCCAGATTGTCACTTTGGTCGTGTTTGCCCTCCACCCCCTGAAAGCCTGCAGCATCGGAGCGCTACCTTATGCTATAATCCTTGAGAGTTTTCCCTGAAATGGGTATTAATTTCACTGTGACAAACTTAAAGAAGAAAACCTTTTGTGGTTTAGTAGTTTACAGACAGGGTGAAGGAAGACCCCAGAGCCATCCCAGAGTCGGCCTTTCCCCGACGGGCAGTGCCGTGCTGCCCACAGCCCCGGAGATGGATCGGGGGGCAGCTCGGAATGGGGAGGCCTCCAGCCACGGCACGGAGAGCCTTCTGGGATGTGGTCAGAGGAAGGAACTTCACTTAGACTCGGTGAGGTGCTCAGCGAGGCGCCTGGCCGTGGACTCACCTGCTCACCCCGTAGGGTCTCCCAGTTCTGGGCCCTAGAGGCAGCCCCTCCCACCAACAACCAGAGCAGCCTTGTAAACATCGTCATCGCGACCTGAGAAAAAGCAGGGAGAGAGGAATGCAGATCGGTCCTTCTCCCGAAAGGCAGGTGCAGGGAGCCCCCGGGGGTGGGGGTGGATGCCCTCAGTCAGCCTGAGGACCGGCCGCTAGACAGGGTCTGAGTGTGGCCGCCGCCAGCCCGGCCTGTCCACCAGGGGGCAGTGGTGCATAAACATGGGCGCGGGTCCCAGCGGGTTGGGCCCTGGCCTGTGACCACAGAGCCGGCAGCCCTTTAACCGCTGGGACCCCGACAGGTCCGCGGCAGGGAGGCCAAGACCATGCGGAAATGACGCTGCCTTTCAAACCCACCCGGGGAAGAGGGAGGGAGGATTGGGGTCACGTCCTGTGAATCCTTAGCTCCATTCTGCGGACAAAACCACCAAGGGCCCTGCAGCAGGCTGGCCCTGGCCTTGACCCTGAGGCCACTGCGGATTCCCTCGGTCCCTCATCTGGTGTCCTTCATCTTGGACGTCCCCCCAGAGCCATCTGGCAGGACTTGCTGCCCCGGGGAAGTTTCCCTCTGGCCAGGAGAGCAGCACGGCCAGTCTAGTGGGCCGTCGGCAGGGAGGTGACTGCAGAGAGATGGCCGGTGGGCTGAGGCTCCTGCGAGGCCACGGCTGCGAGGGGCTGGGTTTCCACGTGGGCACAGCTGCCGCCTGGTGTCTTAGCCCAGAAGCACCTCCTTACCTGAGGGTGATGGGCCTGGCCTAGAAACGGCCTCGCCAGGCCAGGAGCCCCGACACGACGGTGGGGCCTCCTGCTGGACGGGCTGGGCTGCTCTCGCCTTTGCTGACCATTGAGCGTATTCTTCAGGCGTTTCTCACAGTTCCGAGCTGCTGACACTCTGATCCTCGGGGGGTCTGGCTGGTGGGGTTTCCTGGGATGGAGGCTGGGTCCCTGGCGGCCCTGCGTGACTGATGGCCGGGCCCTCGTGCCCGGCAGACGCTCTGTCCTCACGCTAAACTGTGCCAGGTTCCTCAGAGGCTAATATCAGTATTGCAGTACTAATTTATTAGACACGGGGAGATTTTAAATTTCATTTTTGTGCAGTTATTTAAAATTTAAAGTGATAACGTCTAACCCAATTAAATTTCAGCTGATCACTCTCCAAACGCAGTCTTATAAAATATGAATTAGTCTTATAACAGCTTAATCTCCATGTAGATGACCTGCCTTTGGGGTTGTCCGGTCACAAAGCAGACCTTAGGAAATAAAGAAAGAAGATGGAAACCAGGCAGATCCAATGCTGAAAATTATCACAACCATCTGACTATCTGGGACTATTTCACGCACATCAAATTCTGTCTCCTGTTTTGTAATAATTACGCTTTTTAGTTTGACCTTCCTCTTTGGGGATTTCTGGCACTTTCATAATTTAGAGGCTCCAGCGGAGAGAGCCTGCCCCGGCCTCTCGGCAGGTCACCGGGAGGCAGCCTGCCCCAGCCTGTCACCCCGTGGCCCTGCCTCCCCACCGGTTTGTGCGTGCGGACCCACCAGCCCGCCGACCTCCGACGGTGAGACTCCCTCTCCAGAAACAGCACACGTGGCCCCTCTTGAGGGCCTGGAAATCCACCTGATCCCACCAGGCGGGGAAGCCAGCAGGACCTCCGCCCAGACCCTCGACGAGACGCCAGGAGGAGCTTGGCGCCTGGGTTGGGGTCAGGACAGGACTGGAGGCCCGGCGGGCTGGTGACCAGCTGGGACTGGGCACCTATGTGGGTCCCGCTCCCTCATCTGTAACACGCAGGTCATAGAACCTTCTCGGTAGGGCGGCTGTGGTGTTACGTGGTCTGGAAGCTCAGAGCCGGTGCCACCAGTGGGTGTGGACAAGGGACCCAGGGCTGCAGTACCTTCACCCGCACGTCCGCAAGTGGCAGGACCGGGGTGGCCCCGGGCGTGGGGGGCAGGGAAGTTAGGGCACCCGATGGGGCAGTAGGAGTCCCCTCAACTGGAAAATCAGAAGCTTCAGAGCTGAGAGGAGTCAGTTCTCTGTGGATGGTGACTTGCTCAGAGCACCACGGAACCTTGGCGGCCAACCGAAGGTTCGGGGGTTAAGCTGTGCTCGGGATGTAGCCTCAGAGGGCCACGGCCGGGCCACAGCTGCCTCGCCTGGCTCTGGGGGCTCCGGCCTCTGGGGGCTCCAGCCTCAGCCACTGACTTTGCACCTGCGGCCCATTTGGAGACTCAAATAGGGATCTAGTCAACATTTAATTGCCATTTTACTTGGATTGTGCTGTTATATGTCCCCTGATTTGACAGGCAGGTTGGTGGGAGATGGTCCGGGCTTGGCTGGAGCTCGGAGGGCAGGGCGCAGAGCCGGGTGCGGGGGGTTCGCTCTGTAAGGGCCGGGGTTGTCTCCCAGGTGTGGCCATCGCATCCCTGGCGCTGGGACCAGCAGCATGCGGCGGCCCTGGACCTGCTCCTCTCTGCCCTGGCGTCCTGGCGCCCTGCGGCCACCTCCCTTGGAAGCTACTGGGGGGCCACCAGACCTGGCACCGCGCCCCACTTGGGCCGGAGCCTCCTTCGTTTGGTTCCTGTACAGACTGACTCTTTTGGTTGGATCTAGTTTGAAGAAACAGTTCCTCTGCTGAAAGGAAGTTGGAAAGCTGCGTTTTACGTTTCATTTTGCTTTTATTGTTTATAAAAAAGTAAAAAGAGAAATTGCTGGTACAGGTGGTAATCAGCACAGGTCTGGACCTCAGCACTAAGACAGAGGAGGAAACGCTCACGCCGAGGAAAACGCCGGCACTCTCCTGGCTGCGCTCCACGGACGCGTGTCGCCTGAACACACCATCCCGTGAGAAGCTAACGCACCCGCCCTGGCGTCGGGTCCTGCAAACTCGCGGGGATCCTCCCGGCCGGCGGAGGCTGCGGTCAGCGAAGTGGCAGAGAGGGGCTAAGTCCTGAAGGGTGGGCCACCCTGAGGGCAGCGGGCGGCCGTGGAGACAGCCCGGGCGCTGAGACTGGGGGCGCCCTGGACTTCCAGAGTGGACGGGGCGGGGGCTGCCCGGGACACCTCTGGTACCATTTCTCCTCACCTCACACACAACCCGGGGACAGAACCTGGCAGGATCGGGCATGCCACCTGCACCCTCCTTCTTCCCGACCCCTCCCCAGCCCAGGAGGGACATAGCTCCCTTTCCATCAATATCCTGACCATGAGAGGACACCCAGCTCACGTCCTCCTTGCTGCTCCTTCCTGCGGCCCCCGACCCGGCCCTGGGCCCCTCCTCACCTCCGGGGCCTTCCTGGCCGTGTGGACACTGCACACTGCCCCCCTACGGTGACAGGGGCCAGCCTGGGGGTAGATCGGCCCCGCATGGACTGAGGGATGCAGCTTTGGCCCCAGACGGCATGACGAACTTCATAGCCTCTAACTGCCTGCGTTGGTCTCTGAACCCTGGATGGACGATGGGCCGTGGATGGCTCATGTCCCGCTGGGGACTCGGGCCCTGGGGGCAGGGGGTGCTTCTGTCCCTCCACCCCAGACTCTCTGTAGGGGGCCGGGTCTCCCGGTGGGTGTCCCAGCACTGTCCCCGCACACTTGTCCCTTCCACCCTGCCCCCCAAAACCCACCGTAAATACTTAAATACCCCCCACCTCAGATACTCCTGTCTCACTCCCAGCTCATCATCTGAAGGAACGCTAATGTCCGTCGTGAGGAGAGTGGTCGTCTTTCCTTACGTCTTCTGTCTCTGCCACTTCCTGGCCTTTGCCGCCAGCCCGGCAAGCCCGGGGTCCAGGGGCTGAGAACCAGCTCTGGCAGAAGCTCCTTCCAATGGGCCGCCTGCTCATCTGCCGTCGGCCGAGTCCTTTCAGCTGGGTCCCTGAGTTTCCCACTCTGTCACCACGACCTTAGAAGCCTGGTGAGGGCAGGGTCGCAGTGGAGACTCTGGGGTCGCCCCTCGGCTGCCCCCCGGGGTGACGATGCATGGTTTGGACGTGACGCAAGGCTCACCTTTTGGGCTCCTGATGAGGAAATTCATGCAGCGGAGCCGGGGGGCCCCAGATGGACGGGCGTAAAGAGCCAGAGAGATAACCGAGGGCCTCCCGATGGGGGGCAGAGAAAGGGGAGCAGGAAGGCTGCCTCTGGGCCCGCAGCCCCGATTCTAACCCCGCCACTCATGACATGTTGGGGCTGCCAGACAGGCTCCAGTGAGTTTATAGCGGGTCCCGTGTGGATCCAGCGTGAGCGCCCTTCCAGCTGAGTGACGCCCAGGGCTCACCTCCTGCCAGCGTCACCTGTGGCACCTGCCCCCTCGCTGCCCGCGGCCCCGCTGGACCGTCCTGTGCCCACTCAGGGCTGCTTGGACTTCTGCTGTGTGGACGCCCATCCATGAATACACCCCCCCAGTGCTGGGTACGTAAGTCGAAAGACTTCATTATATGTTACTCATCTACCCACGCGTCCAACCATCTCTGGTCTCAGCTCTTCACACGTGATGATTTCTGACCCGGCTGGCTTTAGCCCTCTTGCTATCTGTTTCCCGTTTGATCTAATCTCTACTCCACTCTTGCTGCCTGTTTGGTATTATCAGGTATTTAAACGTCCCCTCTGTTCTCCTCTGTCAGCTGTTTGGGTTCTATTTCGGGGTGTCTTTGGAATGGCTCTCTGGGAGTCACAAGGCATCCTTGTTTTCGCAGCATTAAATGAGAGCTTCACCGCACCTCAAAGGCTGCAAGAACACACAACAGCTTAATGGAATGTCCCCGCTCCCATCACTTTTCACTTACATAGTTTACTTCTACATGTTATAAGCTCACAAGACATTATTTCTATGCGTTCAGTGGTCACGTCTAACACTTGCTCTTTCAGGCGTAGCTCATTTCATCTGCAACTTCTGTGTTTCCATCAGGGATCATCGTCCTTCGTCTTAAGGACTGTCCTATAGTATTTCTCGTAGTGAGAATTTCCCCAGGTTTCATCAGCCCTGATTTCTGTCGGATGTTCTTACCGGTACAGACGTTTAGGGCAGCGGGTCTTCCTCTCGGTGCTTTAAAGATGCTGTTCCGTGGTCTGCAGGCTTCACACCTCCCTGGTTCCTCGAGGGCATGGTGCTGCTCCGGCGCTGCCTCGTCCCCCGCCCCCCAAGTGCCTACTTCGGACGCTTTGGGCCCCTTTACAGTGATTGCAGCATTGGGGGAGCCCCGATACCAGCTGCTTCATCCTGCTGGAGCTGTAGGACCCAACGTTTATTTTGAACAAACTGGCCCTACGGAATGCTGCCGGAACATGTGCACGGCGAGAACAGCCTCCCCAGGATTATGTCATGAATCAGCACTCCTCTCAGAAGGCGTAAGACGCAGCCTTTGTCTGCAGCCTGGCCAACACTGGGTATTATCGCTCTTTCTAATCTTCTCCAAGCTGATTGGTCAAAAGTAAGACCGCATTTTCTGGATCAGAGGACTTTTTTTTTTTTTTTTAACAACTAGTCAACTTTATCCTGTATGCATGTAGCTCCCGGGGCGGAGGTGTCTGCCTTGGTCTCCACTTGTTTCCTGCAGGAGAGAGGCCGGGTGGGTGTGGTGCAGGCGGGGTGCGGTGGGTGTGACGGGTGTGGCCTCACCCTGCATTTCGCATCCTTCCCAAATGGCTCAGCACCCCTCACCGCCACCCCCCCCCATACACTCTCAAGTGTCTCCAGTGTCGCTTCTTACCCAGGCCTGCCCCAAATATCTCACATGGTCCGGGAGACACCCAGAGGAAGATATTCCATGTGGAAAGCATTCCTGCGGGGGGTGTGGACAATGCTGCCTGACTTTCTGCTGCCCGCCTGGCTTGGGGTCCACCCTGCAGAGCAGTGCCAATTCCGAGGGCCGTTTCTGAAGACCAGAAGACAGGAGAAAGCAAGGCGTCCCCGAAGTTCGTCCATTTGTACACTGGACCGCACGGTGCTGAAGCGCGTCTGGAAGTGTCCTGGGCAGAGGCCTCTCTAAGTTTGGGGTGACGTGTATTGACTTAGATGGGGGATCTCTCAGCCCAGCATCTTGGTTGTACTAATCCATCTGTGTTCCTTATTAAATGAGTCCCAATCATGACATCCTTGTCACTCAGCTGGCACTGAAAACCGTCTAAGAAGGAGCTCCTTCATCAGTTTCTCCATGCACCACTGCTTGAGGCCTGGGTACCACTCTGAGGACGCTGCTGCATCCCCGCTGGTGCCTCCAGTACTGAACGTGGCAGAGGTCTCCCTCTGCCCGGTCCCCACTCACTCTCCATCCTGACTTACTGCAGCCCAGCCTCAGGAGGCGGCCTCCAGGGACAGGACAGGACTAGAGGGTCTCCACCCTCTAGTCTGGGTGCCTGGGTCTCCACCCCCTTCTCTGAGTGATTCACAGGAACGTCTTTATGGAGGAGAGAGGTTGCCTGTGTGTGGAAGCCTGGAGGTTCTGACTTGGGAAGGACTTACGCGCTGGCCTACGTGTGCGCTTCCCTGACCCCGGCTGCGAACTTCACGTGCACAAAATGCACATCTTACCTGGGGCATGTCGCAGAAGATCTGAGGGAGATGCTAATTTGTAACTTTTTGTTTTACTGAGTTCCATAAAAAAACAAAAGAAGCAAACACTTTCTAAAAATCCAATGTACCTTCTCGTTTTTTTGTTTCGTTTTTTTTTTTTTTGTGGTACGCGGGCCTCTCACTGTTGTGGCCTCTCCCGCTGCGGAGCACAGGCTCCGGACGCGCAGGCTCAGCGGCCATGGCTCACGGGCCCAGCCGCTCCGCGGCATGTGGGATCTTCCCGGACCGGGGCACGAACCCGCGTCCCCTGCATCGGCAGGCGGACTCTCAACCACTGCGCCACCAGGGAAGCCCTTCTCATTTTCATTATCAGTATATTTCTCAGGTTCCCATGCAAGTGTGACTTTTCTAAAGATCTTACATGAACATAGACGTCACTTAGCTAAATATCTTCATTTTACGAAGGAGGAAACGGAAGCTCTGGAAGAGTCGCTGCTGGGTCCACAGCTGCAGAGAGAGATTTCAAAGGCCCCGCTGTCGTGGCGCCCACCCCGGGGCTTCTCCCGGCCCCCAGCCTCAGCAGTGGTCTCTCTGGGGGCGAGTCCCCCGCTGTGCAGCCGGCCGTGAGGCCTGGGCGGCCCTGTTTGCCCAAGTGTGCGTGGGGCTCACGCATGAGCAGTCAGAGTGTAAATATGGTAAATATTTTATTTAGAGCAGTTTTCGCCAGCTTGAAGGGCTCACTTCAAATTTCTCTCTCGCTGTCATTCTGTGTCTCACACACCACAGCCACACGCACACACACACATGCACACACACACAGGCGCACACACACATGCAGGCGTGCACACACGCGCACACACAGACACACA